TAATATTTTGTATACTACCCTCAACCATGTAGTTTGGTAGTAATAATAAAATGTTCAAATAMAATACACGATGATATAAATTAAATTAATCTTTGTAAGAATTGTCAAATTGTCAAAAAAATTATCGAAATTTCATTTGCAAATACTAATATATTGTACAAAATAAATAAATATATATTATATGTATAAGTATTTTTATCACAGTTTATTGCAAACATTGATTTTTTATTCGTAATTTGAAATTTATGTCTACCTACATTAAGTATTTTGCTTATAATAATTTACATGAAAAATATGATTAATATAGGATCAATAAATTATTGTATTAAAAATTAGTTAGTTGGGAACTACTAAATTTAGTGTCAAAGTACTCAAAGTTAAACGAATTCCAATACCTACCTTCATATTCCATGATAGGTATCCAAAAAAATAGAACATTCAAATATTCAATATAGATATATTATAGTTTTGAATTATAATAAAACAACTTCRTATAATTATATTATACTTTCGGTTTCGTTATCAACGTTAAATATTATTATTTGTTCGTTATCTWATCACCAAGAGCACATTCGTTTACTTGACATTGAAGACACTCGAAAAACCGTGGGTTCGSATGATCTAGAATTTAGAATTTAGACTATAAAATTGTTATAATAGGTACAATTTAATGATTATGTAAAATTMAAAAAWTTAATTAATGGGGAAGAGAAGCCTRTATGGAGGATTTAATACGATGTATTATATAGTTCCCCCTAAATTATTTTCTAAACCTTTAAAATTAAAAACATCACAAAACCATAAATCCAATATTATATTTTTATCGGTTACTTACATATAATTTAATTTTAATTAATGTGTATATTATATACCTATAGGCGCCTTTCAATCATTGTTTTAATAAAAATACTCAATTAAATATAAATGTACATATTTTGTTCTCTAATAATATTTTTATACTTTTATATGTCCGTTTTTATCGAGTAGCTCCTACTGCAAATTCGCAAAATATACGGGTCTTATATAACTCTTATTTGACCACTTTAAGAGGTATAATAATGATTCACAGCGACTTGCTGAATGATATTTGTATGTAAAGCACATTATATATAACTGTAAGTCGATTGTACCTCKAAAACTCTAAGATCTTTAGAATTTAAGAATTTTTAGCAAAGCTTATGATCAGCAAAAGGCACGACCTGTCCATAATGATCATTCWTACGTTGGTTATAATCTGAATTCTGACAGTTAAAATAGATTAAATTCACTAAATATCACACCATTTAATTATTTCATTTTTGGTTTCAGTTAAATGAGATAAGGTTTGAKACGTGTCCATCAAATATTTGTAATTATTACATGTAAGATATTAAAATTAACCAAAATCAACATCAATTTAATACATTAATAATATAGTTMTATGTACGAGTTTATATACCTATATCTGTTATATAGTGTCAAGATAAATACATAAATATATTTATTTAAAAAAAAACAGAAACAAATAATCGAGTACTTGAGTACCAAGATATATTCGTCGATARCCGTGTATAGTTATAATTATGTATTATATATTATAATTCAAATCCAATTGATACGTGTAAAATTACAAAACTAAGTGATCAATAAAATGTTGATACACAATTTATAAACATTTTTGTGATTAATTATCTTTATAAGTAGGTAGGTAGTACATAATAAATTAAAACAATGTGGTATTTTGTATATACCTACACAGGTATTAGGTATTACATATTATACAATAATATACCTATAAAACGTACCAATTTTTATCAGAAGAACTTGAGTGAGAAATATTTCGTCATCGTCTTTATTAATTTGCAAACGTTTGTTAACACAATGTCAAGGTTAGAACTATCAGCTAAATCGATAAATGTATCTAACCTAATCCTTAGTTATATAGATTAACYATGGAAGTTTTRAATTAAAAAAAATTGATTTTAAGATAAGTTCTTTATTTGATCGAAAAAACATATGAATTAAATTATATTTGAAAATAAACATTGGACAAACGAATAGTTATATATACTATTAATAKACGCTACATATATTAATAATATAAAAGTGTTTCTATAATATAAAATAATGTATTATCATACTGTATAGGTATACTCGAATACCAAAAAAACTGATTRATTCTGTTTCTCAATAGCAATCATTTATTGTCTCAACGTCTCCTGTTGGGTTAGGTCTACTGAGGATTTTCAATATCTATACGCTGCGCATTAACGTAAAACATTTAATCAAATTCGTTAGAAGAATTTCCTTTAATAATTATAAGCGATTTCCGACGTCATCGATGAAAAATAAGCGAAATCATCGCCACTGAATATCATTATAAACTGTACCTATAAATAGATCAGTTAATAATATAATATAATATACGCGAAAAACATTAACGAGAGCTTTTTAAGATATTATGTCATTAAAGAGCACGTTTTCGATCGAATAAACTAAAACAAAATCCGTACGACCGTACCTACAATATTATACTACCAAAGAACAATATACAGTCGGAGCAAACAAAAAAAAAAAAAGGTCTTAAAATATCGATACCGCGTATAAATTAAATACCTATATATAGGTATATATAACTTATCGGTATCGAATATAAATAGTTTAAGGTAGATACTATTATATATGTATTTACCGTCTCCGTAATTCATGTAAACCGTACGTGGTTAACCCGTTACCACAATTGGTTGAAAATGTTTAATTACTMCACCTAGGGATAAGCAGTGAAATCGTTTGGCCTAAAGCGATATTGTTTGATTTCGGGAATAACAAGAGAATTCTGAAATTCTGACCACTGCGTGAACCACGCGGTTACACGGTGACATTGTAATCGATAATTACAGCACCTTCATGGAATTATATTGGCGGATCATTATTTTGGTATACACCAGTTGTTATAATATTATTTTTTGAGTTTGCACTTACCGGCCGGAGGGTTCGAAATTTTGGCGCGGGTGCACCCCGGGCGCCGAGTGCTGGTGGTGGCGSCGGCGGCGTCGTCGTCGGTGGCGGTGGCACTGGTGCAGTGGACGCGTCGCGGTGGCCGACAGCCGGCGTGTCGTATAGGTGTTGCGAAAAACGTGCCGGAACAACCGTCGCCGGTCAGAGTGACGGCGGCACACGCACCGGTGTAATGCCACGACACGGTTAGGTTGCGGCTACGACTGCCGCGGCACGCGCTTCTGTATTTTACAGTACTGGTCGTGTATAGGTGCCGGTCGGTATAATATTGGTGTGATTGTGCTCGCGGCGCGAGCGAACCGGTGCAAGCGTGCGGGTCACATGCGCGCGAATCGTACGTGTAACAATAATAATTATTGTTGTTCGGACAGCCGCCGCGTATATCGTGCCACTGTAGTATATCGATAGAAATAAACGRTTGAAAACTGTTAATAAAAAACGAGTACCATACGCGTAAAAATATTTGTACTATTATAATATTTATGTATTGACATAAAGTTTATAAATGTATAATAAWGATATGTATTGAGTATGTTATAATATTATGTGTATTGCGATTAGAACACGTGAGGCGAGAAGAATATGCGAAAAGTAAAATACGGTTATTTTTATTATTTTTATTAGATTAATTACAATGTTATATGGAAGTAACCGAGTCGACTACGTCCATCGTAGTACTTCCTATAATATTTTTTATAATATAATTTAATACAATAATATAGCTGCGGGTGAAAATTAAAACGTTACGCGTGCTCGGCTCAAAGCGAGGTCTGCGGGCACCGAGCGATGACGAGTGAGTGTGAAAGACGCGAGGAGATTTATAATATTATTATTACTGTGAGCGCACCACCAATACACACGACCGACCGGCTCTGTCTTCTTACCGACATTAACAACACACTACTCTAAACGCTCACGCACTCACACACACACACGCACACACACACACACATACACAAACATACACACACAACACTGGCGGCGGCGAGGCACCACTACCGGAGGAACATTAGTCCAAAGTAAACACTTTGAAAATGGAATTGTTGATGACACAGTTGACGGGCGGCGGCGGAGGGCGGAGGCGACGGTGGAAAGGCGACTGCGGGTGGGTGGGGTCATGTGCCGGGGCCCCAGCGTACAATTGGTCTGCACCGCACGGCGTGGCAGTGGCGGCGGAGGGTTTGTTTATTTAAATATGAGTTGTGTTTGGGGTACCCTCTCGCTCGGCCGTCACCGCCACCACCGCCGCCGACTGCTCCTCGCACTACGCCG